CTGTGGGAGGCTCTCTGCTGGTGGCGCTTCAGCTCATTAACCGAGCTGCAAAGTTTGATCCTTGGAAGTGGAGGGGGTGGGTGGTTGTCAGAGGGAATATTGACCCGGCTGGTTTTAATGAGACAGACCCAGCTCACAGGACCAGAGCCTGACGGTGAATGATTATCAGCCAGTGGGTTCACTTTTACAGCAAACTTCCTGTCTGCCATTTCTGTTGGATGAGACCTTATAACATTTAGCTTGGCATCGCTGTACTTCAGTCTTATTACATGTTGGCTGGACACAATCATTGATGCCGATACATCTGCATCGGAGCTTTTATTGGCAGATGGCTCCAGTTCTCCCACAGCAGGAGGGACTGTACAATCAAAAATCCATAAAAACTGAAAATGCTGTGGTTTTAAACCAGTGAATTATCAGACCTCCACCCGGGCAGCTCGCTCAGAGGTCAGAGGTGAAATGTGACATGATATACTTGGATGCAAACTATAAAGTGATATGTACCAGTATCATTGTCTATATGCTGTCAATGCAAACAATGTCAGTAAAAAACACCTCTGTATAGCATTATTATCACTTTGACCTTCAGGTCAATCTACTGACCTTGAAGGAAAAGTCAAAGGTCACATGATATTTTGAGTTTTCATATGCTACTTTCTATATGTTGACAATACACAGCACAATCATAGTTTCTAAGTTTTAAAGCTTTTTGTCAATTTTCCACCAATAAATCTTTAAGTTGACTTTTGAGATCTCGCTGACCAAAACTCTTCCAGCCATCCTGACAGAATGACACGCAAACGCTCAAAACCCCTGACAGGGCGATGACTTGTGTTCCCAAACTATTGTCTGCTGGAAAATCATCGGGGATGTTACTAACAGATCCCATTCATCTAAATATTTCTGAAGACTGTGTGTATTCCAGGGTTGTTAAGGTAATAAATGAATAAATAGCAATAAAGGACTGCACTGTGTTACTTTTGAGCAAAGTAATAAGTAACATGTCAAATAGAGATTACTTTGAGTAACAACCCAAACACTGATCTTCAGCAGCAGATAAAGAAACTCGACAAAGAGCCCAAATCTTTGGCCGCACCTCTAAACTCATCAGATCCAAAGTTGAATAAGCATCAGCATTATCCAATCTTTAAGTGATGATCTGATGAATCCTGCTTCTGGGTCCAAAGTACTCTGCGTTTAAAACGGCTGTTGTGTTTTTAACATGTTGTAATGTTTGGTATCTTGTTCTATTTAATCTCAAAAAGCCCCTAAAAACAGTCAGTGATCACTGTCGGCCTCTCTCGGTTTTTATTACTGCTCTTCATTTTAAAGCTCGGTTTTTAAAACCTTACGATGTAACTCCAGCCCATGCAGCAGTATATGAATGACTAACCTCGTATTGTGGATGGATTATTGTTGTTCTCCTGACTGAAGTTTGGTCCATTTACAGCATCCTGCCATGCGATTGCATTTGTTCCTGACCACTGAGAACCCTCATGTTAACTTTTATCGAGTGGAAAAAAAGTTAGCTATGTTAGCATAATATAAACAAGCTGTGTCGCTAGCGACTGTATTTGTCTCTAACCATCAGGAACCCT